GCTGCTCCTGCCGTGGTTATCCGTGCCTGTGGGGGAAGGTGTGGGCTGGGCTGCGCTGAGGTTGTGTGTCCCGTCGAGCTGGGGTGCTGGGTATCTCAGCTGCGAGACACGAAGGGATCGTGTCGATGGTCAAGGTGAGCTGCGTAGGAGAAGGAGGAGATCCCGCGTACTTGCAGGGCTGCGACGGGGCCTTTGGGCATTTTACCGCCCGCAACTGTGCCGGCGGACACAGTAGTGCAGTGTCCCTGTAGGCGGGAGCATGGTCTGGCGCTGCCCAAGCTGTGGGGCACAGTCCGGTCTCAGCTGAGCACCAGGGGAGGTGGGGACGCTGGGAAGCGGGTTTCTCTGATGCTCCTTATCACTTAGTTTTAAACACTAGAAACATCTTCCTGGAAGACCAAGGTTTTACTTACCCAGGGTAATGGCAGGCGGGTTGGCGCCGAAACATGTGTGCTACATGTGTGCTCTTGTGGGCTTAGGGCGTTGTGGCACAGGAACGCTAGCTGCTGCTTCTCACCAAGGCCTGGACCCTTCCTCTCTCTTGAGGTGTGTTGGCACTGCTGCTCTCTGCTGCTCCCTTGCGGGTTTTATTCTTCTCCACATTGGGGTTCTATTGGGGTTCTATTTGACATCTCAAAGACTGGAACTTTTCAGCAAGCAGAACTCCTGTGATGCTGTAAAGGCCAGGCAGCACGTCTGGTGTAGGTTGTTTGTCTCTAGTGTACTTCTGTTCCGTAGTTTGGTAGGTGGTTTGGCCGAGCCACTGCTTTAACACTTCTTTCATCTTCACAGAGAGTACTGCGCACAATACCTGCAGGTTCTGTGTTTTGTCTGCAGACAGGATAACGTTGAGGGCAAACCTTCCCCTGAGCTCTCTGGCTCTTCCTAGTCTACAAGTGCTGCCTTGGAGAGGGGGAAATCTCTTTCTTACATCCCTTGGGTGACGTGCCTGATACCCGAGCTGCAGGAGGAGCAGAAGTGCTTCATGGGGGTGTTTCAGCTGGGGCGGGATCACGTTGGGATTTGCCTTGATATCTGTAAAATCTAATCCAGTAGCTTCTTGGTACACAGCATTTGGTGTACCTCAGCCTGTACCCCCAGGGGGGCTGGGAGGTCCCTTACGGGACAGCGTACGGGGCAACGGCTGAGCTGACCGGGACCTGTGCTGCCTCTCGTGAGAGCACGCGGCTCAAACGCGTGCCTGTCTGCGGCCGGGCAGAGCCTGACCCTTTCCCGGCTGAGCACGCCTTATCCCAGGCCCTTTGCACAGGAGCAAGGGGGGCTCCAGTTCTGGTTAGCTCCCCCACACTGGCTTCCTGGTAGCTTTGCGGGGACACAGGAGAGTTTTCAAAGTGAGCCATGGGGGGAGGTTGACTAGAGAGTTGCCCGTCTTTCCTCTGAGACCTGACATGACCTGTGTTCTTCCTTGCAGAGAGAGCTGCTCCCTGCGCTGCCTCCCTTGCCCTTCCCAAATGTGAGCACATCGCAGCCAGCACGGAGAAGGACCTCCTCTCGTCTCGAAGACACTTGCTTCTGCCTCCTGTTCCTTTGTCCAAAAAAAGAAAAAGCCAAATCAAATCAGTCCACAAAGAACTTGTGCTGATCTAAGGAGGAGGCTCTGGAGTCGCAGTCACCTCTTTACTTCCCAAGATCCTGGCTGTGGGCTGCATTTTCTGTCCTCGACTTCAGGGGATCACCTACGGGGAATCGGGATCTTGGATACTTTCAATTTTTGTTTTTACTTGAACCCTTTCAACCGAGAAGCTGAAGCTGTCACTGCTAAAATCCCGTTTTTTTTTCCCAAGCATGTCAGAAAGCTGGCAGCAGCAGCAACAGCAGCAAGCACAGCAGCCGCCGCCACCGCAGCAGCACCAAAGCCGCCCTCCCAGAGCCCTCCATCCCGCCCAGCCCTGCTGACAACCCCTTGGGCTGCGCCGTCTATGGCATCCTGCTCCAGCCGGACCCCGGTCTGCAGCACCACCAGCACGCACCCATCCAGGCTGGAGAGCCGTCCCACAAATGCGGTGTGTGTGGCCATGACCTTGCTCACCTCTCCAACCCCCATGAGCACCAGTGCTTGCCAGGCCATGACCGCTCTTTCCAGTGTACCCAGTGCCTGAAGATCTTCCACCAGGCCACCGACCTCCTGGAACACCAGTGCATCCAGGTGGAGCAGAAGCCCTTCGTGTGCGGCGTCTGCAAGATGGGCTTCTCCCTCCTGACCTCGCTGGCGCAGCACCACAATGTCCACAACGGCAACGCCATGAAGTGCTCTATCTGTGAGAAGACCTACAAGCCTCCCGAGGCAGAGCATTCGCAGCCTCTCGACCCCTCGGAGAAGCCCTACAGCTGCTCCATCTGTCAGAAAACCTTCAAGCACCTCTCAGAGCTGTCCCGGCATGAGCGCATCCACACGGGTGAGAAGCCGTACAAGTGCACGCTGTGCGACAAGAGCTTCAGCCAGTCGTCCCACCTGGTGCACCACAAACGGACGCACAGCTCGGAGCGGCCCTACAAGTGCACGGTGTGCGAGAAGACCTTCAAGCACCGCTCCCACCTGGTGCGCCACATGTACGCGCACTCAGGGGAGCACCTCTTCAAGTGCAACGTCTGCGAGCTGCACTTCAAGGAATCATCGGAGCTGCTGCAGCACCCCTGCACGCCCAGCGGCGAGCGGCCCTTCCGCTGCGGCGAGTGCCAGAAGGCCTTCAAGCGCCCCTCGGACCTGCGGCAGCACGAGCGCACGCACAGCGAGGAGCGGCCCTTCAAGTGTGACCTCTGCCAGATGAGCTTCAAGCAGCAGTACGCGCTCATGCGCCATCGCCGCACGCACAAGGCTGAGGAGCCCTTCAAGTGCAACCTGTGCGAGAAGGGCTTCGTGCAGCCCTCGCACTTGGTCTACCACCAGCACGTGCACGGCATAGAAAACCTCTTCAAGTGCAACGTGTGCCAGAAGGGCTTCAATCAGTCCTCAGAGCTGCTGCGGCACAAGTGCGTGCAGAACGCGGAGCGGCCCTTCAAGTGCACGGTGTGCAACAAGTCCTACAAGCGGGCCTCGGCTCTGCAGAAGCACCAGCTGGCCCACTGCGCCGAGAAGCCGCTCAAGTGCACGCTCTGCGAGAGACGTTTCTTCTCCTCCTCCGAGTTCGTGCAGCACCGCTGCGACCCGGCCCGCGAGAAGCCCCTCAAGTGCCCCGACTGTGAAAAGCGGTTCAAGTACGCCTCGGACCTGCAGCGCCACCGGCGCGTCCACACGGGCGAGAAGCCCTACAAGTGCCCCTCCTGCGAGAAGGCCTTCAAGCAGCGCGAGCACCTCAACAAGCACCACAGCGTGCACGCCCGGGAGCAGCAGTACAAGTGTATGTGGTGCGGGGAACGGTTCCTGGACTTGGGCCTGCTGCAGGAGCACAGCGTCCAGCACACGGCCGAGGGTGCCTACCAGGTGGCTGCCTGCTTGCCGTGAGCCTCCTGCCCCTCGGCGGCTTTCAGCTTGCATGTGACGCTCCTGAGCCTCGGCCTCCCCTTCCCTCTCCTCAGTTGTAGATGGCCTCCAGGGAGTTTGGGGGAAAGGGGAGGTACGGTGGGTGGGCAGGTGAACTTTCCTCTGGCCTCTGTGGTTGATATGCCACCTGCATCGCAGGGGCGACGGACGACGTGAAAAGCTCGAAGAGGTGGGGAGGAAAGGAGGGAGGTGGGGAGAGGAACCGACGCCTGTAGTTGCCTGGCGTCCCCTGGACCGTAGTTCACGCTGTACCTGCAGTTCCAGCGCTGGGAGCTCAGCTGCCGGCTGCGGGCACCGGCCCTTCGCGCGCGGCCTCTTTCCCCCGCGCTGCCTGGCCGCTGGGTGACTCTCCTTCTGGAGAGGGCTCGGGAGCGAGGCAGAGCCAGCCCTCCCTTCTCCCAGCTGGTGCGCTGCTCGGCAAGCAAGTAGCAGGTTTCCGCTGCTGAGATCTCCCAACTTTCTCGGTCCGAGCTCAGTTGAGAGGACCATTTCAGATCATTAGCGTTGATGGGACTACCCTGACCTCCCCCGCTCTCCCTCTTTCTAGAGTGTAGAAAGGGAAAAGCCATGGGGCTACACAGCTCCAAAAAGCACTTTGGCATTGCTGCTTTTGCAGTCGCTGGCTGTCACACTCTGCATGGGTTTGAGCGAGCCTGCCCGCTCCCCGTCCCTGCCAGCAGCACGGGGAAGAGTAGCAAGTGCTGCACTGCTACCGGAGAGCGTGGCGAGGAGAGCCTCCGTGCCCTGCTCCTGGCTGAGCGCCTGGCGTTTTAGAGCTGCTTCCTGAGGGACCTAGCTCTCCTGCCCAGACTTGTCCCCAGGCCCCTTCCCTCTTTGCATAGCTTGGGCCGTTAGCGTACCTCCAGGGGGGTCGGGCAAAGGGCCGTCCCCGCGGTTTGAACACTAAAGGGTGAGGTGAACACTACTAATAACCTACAGCTTCAGAGCCGTTACCGTCACCGATGGAAACCCGCACCGTGTGCCAGGGGCTTGGTGTCTGATTTGCTGGGGGGGAACCAGAGCAAGCCAGGACAATCCTTCCTGGCCTGTGGGCTCAGCTCCACGGGGAAGGGAAGGTTAGCAGTGGGTGAAGGAGGAGTGTATTTTTCTCCCCTCTTGCAGGAGTCTTGTTTTACCCCTCTACTCTTTCTTTACCTCTTCTGTATTTTTCAGGTTTTGCACAGTTCTTGTAAACATCACTTAAAAATAAATTTCCCCTAGCAAGGTCAACACAGCCTCAGGTGTTTTCCTCTGCAGGATTTTGCTGGCTTCTGATGACCAAGAGACCCATTGCATGCCAGTTAGATGCCTTGGAGGTTGAAGGCACGCTTACTAGGTTTCTCACCAGCCTTCCCCTTGCCGTCTTTGGAGATACGAAGGTGTTAAATATCCTTCTGTGGAGATAAAGCCCTGACTGGACGCGGTCCTGGACCACCTGCTGTAGCTGACCCTGCATGAGCAGGGGGTTGGAGTAGATGATTCTCCAGAGGTCCCTGCCAACCTCAGCCCTTGTGTGATCTTGGCTCTCCCTCATATGAGGTAGGAGCGTTATGACGAGCTGTAATTGGTGAACAGCAGCCAGTAAGTTGCCCGTGTGCTGCACAGATGGTTAGGACAAGTTTAATAAACGTTGTCCTTGGCAAGTATAGACAGATTAACCTTGCAGAGAGTTGGGCTGTGCCTGCTTTGCTGGTAGGGAATGCTCATCTAAAAGGTGGAGAGAGGCTTTCGTTTCCGTTTCCAGCACAGTGAGGGGGAACGCCGTGTGTTTTCAGGGGCTGGGACGGTTCATTGACAGGTCTGACCCAGGGGCTAAGTATTCCTTACGCACAGCTTTGAGGAGGTTAAAGCAGACCTTGCTCTCTGCTGCCCAAGGAAGAGGGCCCGATGGTTATCTTACTTCATGCTGCCTCACAGATGTAGAACTTCCTACCGAGTTTTCTGTCCATGTTTCTTTTTTCTTTTTTCTTTTTTTTTTTTAAACAGTTTGTTAATATTAATTAAAAAATACTGTATAGTTTAACTTGATGTCACATTGGATCTTTAAAAAGAAAAAAAGAGATGTGATAACTTGTTTTTTTTAAAGATCTCTTTGGTTCTAGGTAGCTTAATATGTAGTAAGTTCTGTGTATGCTTTACTGTAGGAGTAAAAATGAGGAGTAAAACCAAGGAAGGTTAATCCTTTCTTTACAGAAGGGCTTGGTGATGGAGGCTGCGAGCATGGGACCGGGGCCAGCCGGGGAGCGTGACACCCACCTGAACCCTCGCTCCTGCCTTGGGCCGTGGTTAGCTCCACTCTTGCCCAGCGCAGCTGCTGCAGGTCCTACAGACCTGACCGCGTGAGCACGGCGCCGGCAGCCAGGTTCAGTGCCCAGTGCTGGGAACTCACGCAGAGGCTCATCTTTAGTAAGAGGAGGCTGTGAAATGGAGGCTACTGGAGCCTCCAGGGGCTTTTGTGGCTGTATTTCTCTCTGGGGCAGCTGCTGGCTAGAGGAGGAGTTTGGAGAAATTGTTAGCGTGGCCCCCGGATGGCTGTGCCCTGCTCTCTTCCCTCGCCGGGGGCCTGAGCGGCTGCCAGGGTGGCTGGGCAGCCTCGGGTGCTTGGGGCAGAGGAGGATGGCAGTGGGTCCCGGACACAGCTTCCCACCGTGCGCTGGTCGTGGAGCTGCTGGACCCCGTCCCCTTGGTACCAGCGGGGCACAGGGTCTGTTGGGGAGCGTTTCACTCGTGCTGAGCAGCTGGGAAAGCCCTCGGGAGTCCCAGCGAGGAGCTCCGGCTCCGCTTAGGATGTGGAAACAGCCAAGTAAGCGCCATGGGCAGAGAGAGCATCGTCAGGGCTCTGCACTCGGGGGCTGTGCCTGGGGCAGAGGGGGTGCTGTAGGGAGCGCGGCGGGGACGAGCCCAGGTCCAGATCATCAGCCGGTGAGTGGGTGCCTCCAGGTTCGAAACGTCTTGGTGCGGCATTAGAGCATCATTAAGTAGGACTGGCTGTGGGCCCGTGGCGACTCAGCCTCTTCATCTTGCTTGC